ATGTTAAAAATATATTTTTTTTAAAACAGTTATTTCATTCATATATATATATATATATATATATATATATATATATATATATTCGGATACAACAGTTATACATCGCTTATACACCCACAATGCATTCTGATTTCGAGTGTACAACCGATGTACACTCGCTGAAACACTATTCCCGCAATCCAATGCGGAGAACCGGCAAGTTTGAATGAGATGCCGTTTACATCTTTATTTTTGCTTTAACGTTTATTTCATACATTATATTAAAATGTTATGGTGACAATAACTCAGTTTAATATTTTACTAATTTACTGAGGTGGCATCGTTGTTAAATTACAAAAATGATGATAATTTGGTGGATAATTTAAAAATGTTCGTTAATCACAGTAGGTAGCGTATTCATTCTGATGTAAAATTAACGGTCGCCTGAGTGTGCTCTGACCATTATCTTATCTGAGCTGAAAACGCTGCTCGGGAGAGAGTGCATAGTTACAATATAAAGTCATTTTGAGTGTTATTGTTATTAATATTTTCTAAAATAAGGTACATGTAATATAAAAGTACATAGGCCTATGTGACGATGGTTTTGCAACAGCTCCAAGTTTCACGCGCAGTGTATACGTCACCGTCCGAATAAGTTCCCTTATTTAACTCCTTTCTGATATATACTGCCATACACTATACAGGATTAGTGAATGAGTGAGCGATTTCGGACACGGCTAAGGTTTCCTTTTTTATCCGTTCGGCACGTTCTTTTGGGAAAGTATGCTTGAATTTGAAATTCGATATTAATGATATTTTCAAATTGTACGTTGTCGACAAAATTATTGCGATATTATTGCTAATATTCGATATATCGCCCATCCCTAGTACCAAATAATCAAAATATAGTAATTGCGCCACCTTTAACCACTTTTGTTTTTGGCTGAGGTGATTGTGTTGGAAGATAATGTTAAGCAATAAGCAAAAAGCTATTTACACTTGTTTACACTGTTGAAGTCAGTATCACGTTTTTAAGTCTTGCCAATAGTTAATGCAGTAATATATTGGCATTTAATGTAAATGAAAATAAATTAGTTTTGTAGAACTGCAATAACTAATCAATGAAAACAATCAACAAATTTATTATAGATTGTCACGTTTTTATGGACAAACCTGAAATACAGGACACAGAGTGAGCTGTTGCGGGAAAAGTGCACAAGCCGATTGCTTTATGCTTTTTAATATTTGGAGATGTTTTCCTAAGCGTATAACTTTTTATGGTTATATCCTTATCTGTAAACGTTAGAGAATAATGTTTCCTTTTCATAAAGGTTCTTCAAAGTGAGGGATTCTGTGATACCTCACAGACTTCATTGAGTGAGCATCAGCGTGCACAGACAGACAGAGCACATTAGAAAGAGTGCAATAATTCTGACTAAAATGTACATTTAACTGTTAAATTAAGTTATTTTTGTGAGGGCAGTAACTGTAAAGGCACTATTATAATTGGTAATAGATATAATTGTTCAGATGAGTAAATGCACCTCTTACCAAGTTAACAATTTGTTTTTGTTTTGTATTTTCTTGTAATTTAGTGAGGTTAACTTTTCCTTTTTTGCACAATGTAAATCATAGCCTACATGGATACATTCACTATATTTGTTTTCATAGCCTTCACTTTGTACATTGTTTGGAGGATAACATTGGGCTGGTTGTGGAATATATGCAGAAAATAAAATGTTGCTTTTGTGTGATTAATCAATGAAATCATTAGTTGCAGCCCTGGAGTTTTGAAAACGATTTGTTTCATTGGAGATATGTGGAGATGCTCTTGAAGCTGCTGAATTCAAGTGCTTCACTTTTTATTTTAATTTTTTTGGTTTCAATAGAAAATGCATTCATTTACAGAAGTAAAATGTGCAAATGCTGTTTCATGTTGATGCTAATTTGTTTTGAATATTTTAGTATAGTCACTTAAGTCCCTTTTAAGTTTGTGTTGCTTAAGCATGCAATGCTCTGTTTTCTTTGCAGGAAAAGTGAGGAGTTTGAGTTCAACATTATGGTCCCTTACCCATCTCACTGCTCTTCATATCAGTGATAACTCACTTTCGCGAATCCCGCCCGACATTGCCAAACTACACAACTTGGTGTACCTGGACCTCTCGTCCAATAAGATCAGGAGCCTGCCCGCCGAGCTAGGCAACATGGTATCTCTCAGGTGAGAAGCTAGTTGGCTTGAAACCAGACAATGAAACCACCATAAAGATTTTATTTTGATGTAAGGCCGATGGATGAGACTATTGTGGTAGCGTGCAGAGACTTTTTAACCCCATGCTTGCTTTTGCACGAGTCGTTTGGCCTCCAGGCTTTAATTAGGTCCTGTATTCTTCAGAAGTGATGTTTGCCTCCAGGGGCTGTGCTCTTATAACACCACCATTCTCATATGTGGGGGACACAGTGGTTAGCTCTGAATCAATTTCATTTGTCACAGGTTGAAATATGTTACCACTTCTGCTAGTGTGATTACTGCTGCTCGGTATGGTTATAAATCATGTTCTGAGAGGAGCTGAAATGCTACCTTTGAAAGTAGTTGGGATTTCATCCAACAGCTGAAATGCGCCAGGCTACAATAGGTTTTGTGCAGAATGGCGGCTTTTATGCCAAAAAGGCCTGTTGATGTTGAGTTAAAAAAATTTTTTGCATTTGGCTTTTCGTGCAATAGTTGATCTCTTTTAAAAACACCCTGTATTCTTTTGTGCTTTTTGTTGTATGATTATCACTGTTTTTATGGCATGCAAATTTTTGTCTGTTTGTTTCACAGGGAACTGCTTTTAAATAACAACCAGTTACGAGTTCTGCCTTTTGAGCTTGGAAAACTCTTTCAGTTACAAACGTTGGGTTTGAAAGGTACTACTTCCTTTTATAACCCATTAAACTTTAGTTTTGCAGGCCCAGATGGACTTTATGGAAGTTTATGCTTTTTCTGTGCTGGTTTTAGAATTTAGAATGTAGAAATAGTAAAAGGATTTAAACTAACCTGAGTGTACTACACTTATTAGTAGCAGAAAATAATCAAATTGGTCAAAATATCTAAAACACTCAAGGGCCAGAGAATGTGTGCAGAGCCTTTCTCCAGGTGTGGATTCTGTGTGAGCCTAGTTAGTTGTTAATATTTTGTTCCTCTAAAGTAACAATTGCTGTAGTAAGCTTGTCACTCTTAGATAGGAATTGGAATGCATATTGTGATCTACTATTAACAATTACTTTGAGTCTATAAATATTTAAAATGTTTTTGGATTCATATTTGAAATTGCTTTATGTAAAATAATTGATCCATTTTGTTAATTTCGGTTTTTATTTATTGTTTGCCAAAATGTTAGCTATTTTGAATTCAGTTGTTTCCCTATTGTACAATTTATTATAGATAATTGATTTCTTTCCCCTTTTGGATTCCCAACCAAGTGATGTTAGGATCAGTGGTGGAATTTGAGAAAATCAGATGTAAATGTAATTCTACAGTGATGTATGTACTGGTTCTGTAATTATGCTTTTTTCAGTGACATGTCATGTTTCATGTTTTGTTGTGTTCTGTAGGGAACCCACTTGCACAAGAAATCTTGAACCTCTACCAAGAGCCTGATGGGACACGTCGGCTCCTCAACTACCTGCTGGACAATCTCGCAGGCACCAAACGTGGTGAGTCAACCCTTGTACAGCTGGCCTTCTTGTGTGGTGAGCACTGAAAAGCTTCTATTCTTGTACATGCTCTTTAGAGCAGATTAATTTCATGCAATGAAATGAGTCATGGAATTGTTGTTTGATTGAACATTTTCTTTTGATGCTCTGAATTACTGTGGAGATAATTACTATGTTCTTGCACGGCAATGTGGAGCAATTTCCATTGAGTCATTGCTCAGTTTTTTTGAAAGGTTCACTAACAGTGTAGTGTTTTATTTTTATTTTTATTTTTTGGGCCATAGTATCTATAGAACAGCCACCACCTCGCTCATGGATACCACTGCAGGAGCCTGACAGAACACGACCAGCAGGTGAGACACTTTCACTTAAGTTCACATTGTCACACAGGCCTGCACCATTTAATCTTTCACTTCTCTTTTACCCAGGTGCAACAATTTAGAGAATTCTTTTCTAATAAAAAAGAGCAAGACATCCGCAAAGCGTGGCCTAGAGGCAGTTTTACTTCATGAGAGACCTAGGGCTGCACAATTATATAAATAATGCTGAATTTATAAGGTCTTGTGCGAAAAAATTTTTTTTTGTTGTGTTTATTTAACCACAAAAGGCTGAGATTTTATTAGACATAGTATGCAGGAACTATGTCTGTAATATTCAAGCACATGTGAGGCTCTTGATATGGCGTTTTAGCTGTCTGAGTTTGGTTCGCTTCAAATAAAGAGCTTTAAGAAACCTCTATTTTTTTCAAATTTAGTGTTTTTTTGTTTTAATTGTTTAAGCTATAAAAAGCATGTCTAATAAATTAAATTCATAACTAACAATTTATTAAATTAACAATATTAAGGCCCTTTGAAATTCTTTTTCCCAAGTTCCATTTTAATTTTTTTATTTTAAAGTTAAAATTTTCCTTGATTTAATACAATTTATCAAACTGTAGTAAACCTAAGTTCATACATAAATGTTTTAAAATAAAAGCAAATGAAAATAATTGAAAAATATAGCTGCAAGCAGCAATTACGGGGCCAAGCACTCCAGAGGCAAAATGAGGAGCGAAGCATGGCATGGATCATCAGACCAACCTCTCAAATGAGTAATTAAAGCAAGTTTAGGAGGATTTGAAGCAAAATGTCTGAAAATTCAGAAACACAGCTTCTGGTAATATGATTTAATGGCTTATCACTTTTGACCAATAGGTGGCACTGTTATCAAGTCGATGTGGTGTGTCCTGTGTGAGGTGACAATGGCACGCACAAAGTTTGGTGTCAATATGTCAAAGCTTTGCTGAGATACAGCCTCAGACATGATCTGGCAATATGCTTCAAATTTGTTGTGGACTAAATATTTTGAGACTAATTTTAAGCTAATGCAATCAAATTATTAGCATTTTTGGAAATTTCATAATTAATGGTTAATGAATGGTTTACTACTCTTGACCAGTAGGTGGCGCTGTAACCAAAATGATGTGGCCTAGTCAGTGTGAGGTGTCAATGGCACACACAAAGTTTGGTGTAAATATGTCAAAGCTTTGCAGAGAGACAGCCTCCGATGCAGTTTGGCATCTTTCCAGCAAATTCGTTGATGCGCTAAACGAGAACCGTTTCGTATATCAACATGGAATCCATAACTTTTTGCCAGCTTGGTCTGAAGATGATCCAAGTCAAATTTGGTGAAAATTGGGCTAAAGGTCTAGGAAAAGCTTTGCAGAGAGACAGCCTCCGATGCAGTTTGGCATCTTTCCAGCAAATTCGTTGATGCGCTAAACGAGAACCGTTTCGTATATCAACATGGAATCCATAACTTTTTGCCAGCTTGGTCTGAAGATGATCCGAGTCAAATTTGGTGAAAATTGGGCTAAAGGTCTAGGACAGGGATTCTCAAATCTTGCCCACGAGATCCACTTTCCTGCAGAGTTTAGCTCTAACCCTAATCAAACACACCTCAGCATGTTAATCAATGTCTTCAGGATCATTAGAAAATCACAGGTAGGTGAGTTTGATCAGGGTTGGAGCTAAACTCTACAGCGCATTGGCCCTCCAGGGCAAGATGAGGAACCCTGGTCTAGGAGGAGTTCGAAAAATTAGGTCTTCAACATAAATCAAAATGGCGGACAGGATGTTTAGCCAGTTATGTCAAAATTGGTATCAATGTTCTCGGCATGATCCAAGGAATCTATCAACATCACTCATTACAATAAGTTAATGTAAGCCAAAGTTATTTGCATTTTTTAAAATTTCATTAACTTTTGACCAGAAGGTGGTGCTGCCCCCAAACTTTGAGTACCGTCAGGGCATGGTGCCAAAGACGCATACTGAGTTTCGTAACTATACGTCAATGCGTTCGTAAAATGTATCATTTTATGAAAAAATTCAAAATGGCTGACATGGGAAAATTGGATATGGTTCGACTTGGCATGATCCACTGACTCTAAAGAGACCAGTTTTGTGATTTTTGGCCAAACCGTTCAGAAGTTGCTTGGTCTGAAGATGATCCAAGTCAAATTTGGTGAAAATTGGGCTAAAGGTCTAGGACAGGGATCCTCAAATCTTGCCCACGAGATCCACTTTCCTGCAGAGTTTAGCTCTAACCCTAATCAAACACACCTCAGCATGTTAATCAATGTCTTCAGGATCATTAGAAAATCACAGGTAGGTGAGTTTGATCAGGGTTGGAGCTAAACTCTACAGCGCATTGGCCCTCCAGGGCAAGATGAGGAACCCTGGTCTAGGAGGAGTTCGAAAAATTAGGTCTTCAACATAAATCAAAATGGCGGACAGGATGTTTAGCCAGTTATGTCAAAATTGGTATCAATGTTCTCGGCATGATCCAAGGAATCTATCAACATCACTCATTACAATAAGTTAATGTAAGCCAAAGTTATTTGCATTTTTTAAAATTTCATTAACTTTTGACCAGAAGGTGGTGCTGCCCCCAAACTTTGAGTACCGTCAGGGCATGGTGCCAAAGGACCAACTCTGCAGGACTACTGAGTTTCGTAACTATACGTCAATGCGTTCGTAAAATGTATCATTTTATGAAAAAATTCAAAATGGCTGACATGGGAAAATTGGATATGGTTCGACTTGGCATGATCCACTGACTCTAAAGAGACCAGTTTTGTGATTTCTGGCCAAACCGTTCAGAAGTTAAGCAAAAAGAGCAATTTTTCGTATGTCCTGACCACTAGTTGGCACTGTGCCGAAACACTGCAGGTAGCCTCAGGTCAAGCTTGTTATAGCACAGGGGTAGGCAAGTTCGGTCCTAGAGAGCCACAGTCCTGCAGAGTTCAGCTCCAACCCTGAAAAAAAACCTCCCCTGCCTATAGCCTTAGTAATCCTGAAGACATTGATCAGCTTGTTCAGGTGTGTCTGATTAGGGTTGGAGCTGAACTCTGCAGGACTGCGGCTCTCTAGGACCGAACTTGCCTACCACTGTTATAGCACATACCAAGTTTGGTCTCAATACACCAAACCGTTGTGGAGATATAGCCTCATCCATTTGTGCGTGCTTTTTGTAGAATTCGTTTGCGTGTTATTAGAGAATGGTTGGATCAATTGAAGAATCAACTTGAATTCCATAACTTCCATTCAACTCGGCATGAGCCAAGGAATCAGAGGAAAAAATAATTTTACTTCTGTGCCTTACGGTTCAAAAGTTATTAGCATAAACCTGAGTGAAAGTTTGGACAAGTGGTGGCGCTAAAGAGTTTGAGTTAGAGACTCCAACTTTGCTATGATTAATGTTGAGACTGTCCTCTATCAGTGGGCCAAGTTTCACAACTTTCCCGCAAGCGGTTCTATTAGGCCTGGACGATAAAACGGTATCGATATTTATCGACAGTACACCCTCTTCGATAACAATAGAAAAAATGTTCGATATAGTGCACGATATAGGCATGTACTATGAGTGACGCAGACAGCACACACAAACAGGAAAATTAATATTAGTCGAGTTTAAAATAGACATTTGCATTTGAATGCAAAAATAGTACAATCAAATGTTAGGTGTGCGTCTGGGAGCGTCATTAGTGGAGCATGAGCACAAGACGCGCAGTTGATGCGTTATTCATTCAAAATATTAGAGAAATATAGTAGCTCAATGCATAGAAGATCTTGATTAGATTAAAACCGAAACCAAGCCATTCACACAGAACGCATATTCAGCACATTTTTTAGACGGACAAATATGACTGCTGCATTCGCGTCTCATGCAAGAGATGTATAGAAAGGCATGCAAAGTTAAAAGTTTAAACTTTTAGAAAACACGTCGCGAGTTTGTGGAGGTTTATTCCTTTTCACTGCGTCTCTTATGCTTTTAAATGCATTCTGCGTGGTGGGTGATAAGCAATGAATAAATACATGAGGCTGTTTTGTTCATAATTGTTTATGCAATTTATGAAATTGTTTGAGTTAATTTAGACGTAATGCAAATTTTTTTTATAGACAGTTATTTCCTTTGCATTGGCAGTTTAATGCGTTGCATTATTTTGCTCATTGCGCCCTCCTGTGGCCTCGGGAGACAAGCCAAAAGTTTCCTTCAGACCGATTTAATCTGCATATAAAACATTAGAAATGAGATGTTTAATTTTAATTTTGTGTTTGACTGTTAAAACAAATATTTGTTGTTTGTCTCAATAAATTGGGTTAATTTAAAAATACAGTGGTTAAATTTAAACGTTTTTTTTCTATTGCTCAGTTTTAAAAAAAGGTTATAAAAAATGTCAATTATAGATACTGAACGATATGAAACATTATATCGTTGATGCATTTTTTTTAACTATATCGCCCAGCCCTAGGTTCTATGGGCTGCCATAGACTCAAGAGCGGAAGAATAATAATAATATCATATCCGCCAACGGATACAATAGGTGCCATCGCACCTTCCGTGCTTGGCCCCTAATTAGTCACTGCTTCTACTTTGAGAATTACATTTTTACAATAATTTGTCAAAATTTGCCAAATTCTGTGAAATTCCAGGATGCCTAATGAATGACACGTGACTCAATTTTTTTTATATCATGGTGTAATAAAATCCTGTATAAATATTGAATATTTTTGTATATAAAAGTAACAGCATCTTAATGAATAGCTATTTTTGTCAACCTCACTGAAGTCTTGCTTCCTTCCTTCCTTCCTTCACACTTTAGCACTTTTCTCTGTAATGTGCTACAACGTGCTTTGTGATAAGTACGCCACACGTCAGCTCTACGGCTACTGTCCCTCCTGGGCCCTCAACTGGGACTACAGGAAGAAGTCCATTATGCAGGAGATCCTCAGCTGCGGTGCGGACATCATCAGCCTACAGGTTTGTCAGCCGCTTGCATAATTCAAGCTGGAGAACTGTGCTTTAAAAGCAATTCTTACTGGAATAAACTCCTTTAAGGAAACTTAGTTCCAAAATTAGACAGTGACACCAAAACTGTTCAGTTAGGTGATGTCTCATTTACACCCAGTCATAACAAAAACATCAATCTCTTATGTGCCCAATAGGAAGTGGAGACGGAGCAGTACTACCACTATTTCCTGGTGGAGCTGAAGGAACATGGTTATGAAGGATTCTTCAGCCCGAAGTCCCGAGCCAGGACTATGTCAGAATCTGACCGCAAACATGTGGACGGCTGCGCCATCTTCTATAAAACAGAGAAGTGAGTCCACCTTAAGCAGACTGCAAGCCTTTAGTTTAGTGGTTCGAGCAACAGTTGTTCTAGCATGTTGTGTTTGCATGCGTCATCCTGACCTCACTGTTTCTGTTGAGCAGGTTCAGTCTGGTGCAGAAACACACAGTGGAGTTCAACCAGCTGGCTATGGCAAATTCAGAAGGTTCAGAGGCCATGTTGAACAGGGTGATGACCAAGGACAACATCGGAGTGGCTGTACTGCTAGAGCTGCGGAAAGAGATGATGGAGCAGTCTGGTCTGTTTCCTTTTTCCCCTTTCTTTTCGCTACACTTACAGTTGCACTCTTGGTGCATGTTACTCCTTCTGGTGTGACTTTACACTAAATCTGTATGATTAACTGTGAAAATATAAAATCACTCAAGTAGTGCTGGGCGGTATACCGGTTCTTATTTTTGTTATATGAATTTTGAAAATACCGCAATACGTCACTTAAACAACGTTCGGAATGCGACACTGCTTGAAAGGGTTGTTGCACTGGGGTGAGGGAACGGCTGTGTTACTAAGCGTGAAAGTTCTGAAACTGAAGCTGTAGAACTAATAGAACGTGATGACGCAGAAGAACTCATCTACATTGACCGCCACAAATATCCACCGCCCACTGCCATCAGCTCCCGCGTCTCACATGCACACGAGTGCGACTTTAGCACTAGATTTAGCAACTTTCAGACCCTTTTAGTGGCTTTTTTCCATAGAATATTCATACTGACAAACCTAGCGACTTTTTTGGATAAACCTTAGCTATGGTTCAGTTGGAAGATTTCGCCAGTGCTGTCCCGCGAACACGAGGTCTGACTTTCCCGGAGAAGTGTCACCTCTCTCGGTGTCTGTTCTGAGCAGTGAGCGGCAGAGAAGCAGCGCATTCAGTTGGCTGCACCGCAGCAGACTCATCAATAAATGAGTACAAAACAGCGTTTCCTAGCACCTGTCGTTTACTGATTGTTTGGAATTATAAATAGGAGCATAGTTCGTCTGTTAATATCACATGTACTTTTTTGTTTGTTGTTTTCTTTTAGTCACTCAGATGCAGGCAGTGCGCTGCATGAGACAAAAAAGTAATATAGCCAAAACAACCGCATAGCCGCTCTTTAGTGTAGATGCATGTTGATTTTATCAGACGGTGATTATAAATGAGTGACTCCTGGTTAACATGTATTAAAAGTGGTCGTGTTTAGTCACTATTTAGTGTGGTATTTTTTGACAATATTCACTCATCATGACAGTAAAATAGGGCATTCTAAGTCAATATACTGCAGTATTTCCTCTCTCAATCAGTAGAAAATATGGTTAACTCCCGGTCATGCATGAAAAAAAAATACCGTCTTGTAACGTGAAACCGGTATAATTTTGAAAAATACCGTGATATAAATTTTTGGTCATACCGCCCAGCACTACACTCAAGTATATAAATATTTAACTATTCACACCAGTACCTAAAAATATTGATATTTTCATTGTATTGTGATATTTGGTTTAATCTGATCGATCCGCCTGCTTCATAGTCTGAAACGCATAAACTGAACTTTCTGTTGTACATCACTCATCATGACAGTAAAATAGGGCATTCTAAGTCAATATACTGCAGTATTTCCTCTCTCAATCAGTAGAAAATATGGTTAACTCCCGGTCATGCATGAAAAAAAAATACCGTCTTGTAACGTGAAACCGGTATAATTTTGAAAAATACCGTGATATAAATTTTTGGTCATACCGCCCAGCACTACACAAGTATATAAATATTTAACTATTCACACCAGTACCTAAAAATATTGATATTTTCATTGTATTGTGATATTTGGTTTAATCTGATCGATCCGCCTGCTTCATAGTCTGAAACGCATAAACTGAACTTTCTGTTGTACATGTGTTGCTTAAAACTAGTAAGATAATAATGATGATGATAAAATTATAATATAATAATTTATTCTTTTTTTTTTACCGAATTAATTGATGTTTTACATGAAAGCAATAAAATAGTGATGTCATAGTTTAGTGTTTTTAACGGGTGTTGGGTGCAACAATTATTGCTTTCATAAAATGGTTACACTTCATAAAAAAAACTAGGGATGCACGATATATCGGCCACCATATCGGTATCGGCCCATATCGGCTCATTTTTTCTGTTATCGGTATCGGCCTGATAAGAAAATTTGGCCGATATCTTAAAGCCGATAAATAATGCATTATTTCCTTCAGAGACACTTCAGATGCGCGCTGTTCGTTTGCAGCCTTTTGTGCAATTGTACATTGTAATATTGTGTTTATTTGATGTATATCTGATTTATCTCATATAGAATGCGTTTGGTTAAGTTAAAAAGAGCGCTTCAGTTTACCGGTGATCATCTTTAGCTCAGCACACGCAGCCCAAACAGCAGTGCACAACATTAATAACTATGATTGGGAATGTCATGTATATAACATTCTAATGAGAACATTATTATAATAAAACGTTGGGAATTCTTTGGGTTTAGTTGCCGTGTTTCAGCGCGTTGTTATGGGAAGAGCGCATCCACAACAGGATCACACATTCTGACTATAGCACGCAAGAACTGCATCATTTTGTACATATATAAGTTGTAATATTATGTTTATGTTGTATTAATATTAATCTCAGGATGCATTTCCTTGAATTAAATAAGCTGCCAGCAAAACGCTTCAGTTTACCATGTTCATTCAGCTCTTCAGCTTCAGCACGCGCAGCTCAACGGCTGCTATTTAAAACAGTGGTATTAATTTGTTACTTTTTCAAAATCATCGATACATTATTAATAACAACAACCACTTGTATTGTTCTCTTATTATTTTCATCAACAATATGGTTTAGTAATTAAAATAATTTAATTATTGTCCGTGCAGAGGCTATTCCGTTTTATTGATCTATGGCGCATTCATTTTGATTCTTTACACGTGTAATGATGTCCAGTGACTTGTTTGCATTATTTATGCATAATTTTATTTATTTGTAAGGCTTTTTTATGACTAAATTTGGTAATGGGAGAGTAAAAATATTTTTAAAACGTACACCGTTCAAACTAGGCTGCTTATGTTGAAGTGTTTGGGATGTGGCTTTTAATGATGAGACCTTTTTTGTAATCAGGCTCTCAAAAAGTATATAACAATTTGGATATAGATTTATCGGCCAACATATCGGTTATCGGCTTTCAAAAATAAAGAATAATCGGTTATCGGTATCGACCAAAATTTTCATATCGGTGTATCCCTAAAAAAAACACACAGTAAGAAAAAAAGTTTTATTATGAAATAACTCTTCTGCCAATCACTGTATTTTTTCAGCAATATTTAGCAAAAAGGTTGCCAAGCGGTGGACAGCATGCTTGATGCAGTAATACTGATGTAATGAGGTCGCAGATGCTTATACAAAAGCTTTGAACAAGGCTCAGCCAATCATATTTAAGGACTGGACTGTTTTATAGTTGTACATGCTCTTTTTCTGCATTTAGATCATCTTTGTCATTTAATGCTTGCTTAATTTCTTTATTAAAAACACTAATTTAATAACCATGTTGTGTAATTTTAGCAAATTAAAATGATTATCCATTTTTCATACTAAATGTCACAAACAACAACAATGTCACAAACACAAACAATTAAAATTCTACAATTTATTATGCTTTAACTAAAACCATAAGGAGGCATTTTCATTATTTGAAATAAATGAAAATAAAGTATTAAACTATTTCAGAAAGTTGCCATAGCAAGATTTCTATATTTTCATTGTTTAACTTGTATTAAATGAACTAAAACGGAAGTAAAAAAATTAAAAAAATAAACTACATATAAAAAGTAAAACTTAACCTAATTTTAATAAAACTTATAAAAACAATTCAAGATAAAGAATGTAATAGTATCTTGATGGAAGTTGCATTTACTTTTATAGCACTTTTTCAATAGAAATTGCATGTTGTGTAATTTTAGCAAATTAAAATGATTATCCATTTTTCATACTAAATGTCACAAACAACAACAATGTCACAAACACAAACAATTAAAATTCTACAATTTATTATGCTTTAACTAAAACCATAAGGAGGCATTTTCATTATTTGAAATAAATGAAAATAAAGTATTAAACTATTTCAGAAAGTTGCCATAGCAAGATTTCTATATTTTCATTGTTTAACTTGTATTAAATGAACTAAAACGGAAGTAAAAAAATAAAAAAAATAAACTACATATAAAAAGTAAAACTTAACCTAATTTTAATAAAACTTATAAAAACAATTCAAGATAAAGAATGTAATAGTATCTTGATGGAAGTTGCATTTACTTTTATAGCACTTTTTCAATAGAAATTCATTCCATGAAACTTCACATTATTAAACCGGAAAGTAACAATCAATGATGCAAACTTCACAAATGAGACAAATCCAAAGGTGCTATAAAGCAGCTGTAGCAAGACAATAGTGTCATTCTTCAGCTCCAGTCAGTTCAGTTGCTGCGTAAAGTTCCTTCATCATAAAATGAGTTCAGTTCAGTGATAAGCAGCTCAGCTGAAGACCGTAGTGTTGTTGTTCAGCTTGAGTCAGTTATGTGTAGATTAATTTCAGTTCAATAACAGTGATGTTGCAAAATTCATGAATTATTAGTTTTACTCTGGGCAGAGACTCTTAAGTCTCATAACAATATCTAAGCAGTGTCTCTTTCTACTCCATAGCTGGAAAGCCTCTGCATGGCATGGAGAAACAGCTCCTTCTTGTGGCCAATGCTCATATGCACTGGGACCCCGAGTACTCGGATGTGAAGCTTGTCCAGACCATGATGTTTCTGTCTGAAGTGAAGAACATTGTGGACAAAGCCACTCGCAGTCTCAAGCTCTCCTCTGTCTCAGGAGAACCCAATGCTATCCCTCTGGTCCTGTGTGCTGACCTCAACTCTCTACCTGACTCGGGTATGTATGCCAGAACCATACTCGCATGTTTAGAGATTGATTTTCATTCATTCTTGCATTATTCCTGATGGAGATTTTCATGCTCGCACAGGTGTGGTGGAGTACCTGAGCACAGGTGGTGTGGACGGCACCCACAAGGACTTCAAAGAGCTGAGATATATTGACAGCTTGACCAACTTTAACTGCAACGGCAAGAATGGCACCTCCAGCACCAGGATCACGCACGGCTTCAAGCTGAAGAGTGCCTATGAGAACGGCCTGATGCCTTTCACCAACTACACCTTTGACTTTAAGGTTTGATTTCTTTCTTTCCTTTTTTTTTTTTTTTTGTACAATGCTTGTATATCTCTTCGGTTTTAGATATTAGTTTGTTTTAGAGGTCGAACGATATGGGTTTTTCACTGGCCGATGCCGATATTTAGGCCCTGTCCCAAATGGCACCCTAAACCCTTGCGGTCTTCCTCTGAGTCCGCACTTTCGTGACTTAATGCCGTTTTAGCTGTTGGGTAGAAGTCTGCTGCAGAGCTCGCCCCTGTGTGGGCTTGGCAGAAGTGCGGATCAAGGGCGCATAACGGCTGCAAAGGGGGCGCTCGCAAGCACCGCTAAAATGCTAAAATGACAAATGGGACACCCTACGGTCTCGTGGACTTAACGGATACGCGCATGCGGCGGCCATTGCAAGACCGCAAGTGCACATAAGTGTTCCATTTGGGACAGGGCCTTAGAAATCAGGGCAGCCGATATATGATGTTGATTTTTTTTGGCCGATTTTTTTATTTTTCCCCCTTCATCTCATAAAAGTGAGTTTGAGTAAATGATTGCAGGGTACAAGATGGTAATGGTGGTAGTAGTAGCCTAATTCAGAGTAATAATACATGGCTCAAAATAGGACTGAGTGATATAGCTAAAAAATTTATCAACAATATAATGTTTCGTATCGATATTTATTGATATTTTTATACACTTTTTTTAAAACTGAGAAATAGAGAAAAAATTTAAATTTAACCACTATTTTTAAATTACCCCATTTTATTGAGACAAACAACAAATGTTTGTTTTAACAGTCAAACACACAATAAAAATTAAACTATCTAATTTCTAATGTTTTATATGCAGGTTAAATAAGTCTTAAAGCAGCACTATGTAACTTTTGGCGCTCTAGCGGTTAATAAACAGAACTGCACACATCCCGCGGAAGAACATTCCAACCGTAGCTAGTTCTCTAAGTTTGTCTATGGCGTTTCACGCAGGTATGTATTACTCCGCAGCGGTGACGACCCGACCAGGCTACAATAGTCCAAATATAAGTACTTATTATAAGTGTACCGTATTGATTCGGAATAAGACGACAACGCGGTTTGGAAGATGAATTCATGATGTAATCGCTCATTATATACATTTTGCAAATTTTGAACACAGAAAAAGTTATATAGTGCTGCTTTAAGGAAACTTTTGTCTTGTCTCCCGAGGGCGCAATGAGCAAATGTAGCACATTTAAGTTGTAAACACAAGGAAATATGTTTATAAAAAAACATGCATTACGTCTACATTAACTCATATAAATCAAATATAATTTCGTAAATTGCATAATTATGAACAAAACAGCGTCATGTATTTATGCATTGCTTAATCCAAAGAGCCGAAGCTCCATTCACGCAGATTGCATTTAAAAACATATGAGATGCAGTGAAAAGGATTAAACCTCCACAAATTCGCGACGTGTTTTCTAAAAGTTTAAACTGTTTTAACTTTGCATGGCTACATCTCTTTTGTGAGATGCGAGTGCAGCAGTCACATTTGTCCGTCTAAAAATGTGCTGAATATGCGTTCTGTGTGAATGGCTTGGTTTCGGTTTTAACCTAATAAAGATCTTCTCCGCATTGAGCTTCTATATTTTGAATGCATAACTCAGCAACTGCGCGTCTCGTGGGCTAGACTAACATAACATTAAAATGCAACAACGTCACTTGCGTCACCGCACACCTAACATTTGATTGTACTATTTTTGCATTCAAATGCAAACGTTCATTTTAAATTCGACTAATATTCTTTTTTTTTTTTAATTCACAATCTCCTCATCGCAGGCACAGCACTCAATTCAGCATGTGTTTGTGTGTGCTGTCTGCGTCACTCATAGCAGGTGCCTATTTCGTGCACCATATCGAACTTTTTTTTATATAGTTATCGAAGAAGGTGTACCGTCGATAAATATTGATAGTTTTATCGCCCAGGCCTAGCTCAAAACTTAAGCACCTTCTCAAAACAGTTCTGAAGCATGCTTTTTGTTTGTTTGCTGACAGACACCAGTGTTTCCCACTGACTTGCAAATGCAAATTCGTTCTCCGCCAGCAGGAGGCGCTATTGGAGCGGGAGATATAGCAGTTTTCCCGGTAACGGCTGTAATCTAATAAGCACTGTGCTCACAGTCACAAACGCTACTTTATCAGGCATTACAGAAAAGACAAAATGAAAATGACATCGAAGCTTTTCTGAAGATGGTCGGTTCTTTTCAAAGATACATTCATATAAAAACACCCGCGCTGCATTTTAATTGTGAAACGTGCAGTGATCAGTTTATTCAACGAAGTATAAGCCTTTTGGGAAATCTATTTGTGGCGGTGACGAGCTGCCACAAATAACTCGATGTATGGGAAACACTGGACACTGCTATAAGTCAAACGGCCAAGTGATAACAAAAAAAAGATTTCACACATATTACACAGCCCGCTGCTATAACTGCTCATAATTGCTTAGAATGCACTGGCCACGAGCGATGCCATCATGGATGCTATTGTCGGACCCACAGACGCATTTCATGAGGAGCACATTATAATCAGCCCAGAAGTTTTGTCTGAATTGCATGCGTTTCTACTTTCACATGCAAATGACTTGTTGCGCTTATGAATATGATAACTTTCTGGCATCAATTCTAGTAGGGTAAAACGTAATTACGCTTTAGAAACGGTCTGTTTTGCCCTGCCATTATTAGCTGAAGCTGTGTGTGAACAAGCGGCTGGGGAGTGTGAGTTGCTCTACCTCCGTCGAGAGATTCTCCGGCGTTCTGCAACAACGCTTAGCTGCCCGCAGATGCGCCTGCCTATAAATCGGCCTAATTTGCAGCACAATCGGCCAATGCCGATTAATTAAAAGATGCCAAAAATCGGCCGATTAATCTGCCAGCCGATCAATCGGTCGACCTCTAGTTCATTTACATTCAAAAAACATCCAAAGGCTGAAGTATGGTTGTCACTCTAACATTTTCACTACACAGTTACTGTGGCCAAAATAATTCACTAACTATTTTCTTGCGTTTTCTATTGTAAATAAACTTAATTTAGGTAAAGTTAGAAATTAATGTTTTCAACTTTGGCCAATGAATCACACTTAAAATATGAATTTAGGGAGAGAGTGTGGCCATAATGCAAAAGCATGCAAAAAAAATTTAAGTTCACTTTAAAATCACTTATCTAACCCCCC